CGGTGCCCCCTCCCCGCATCCTCGCTGCTGTTCCCCTCCAGCCGCTGACCTGCGCTGCCCTCGGGACAAAGGGGAAAGAGAGCAGTGCCTGCTCCTCCTCCTCCTCCTCCGGTGATGAGAAGGGTGGGGAAGAGCTTTGCTAAGATCCAGGAGGGATGCTCCGTGCATCATCACGGAGATGTCTCTGCCGCAGATGTGCTTTGGGGTAGAGGAGAAGTACGAAGAGGAAAATGATGTGTGGGGTGTGAAACCTGGCCGTGACCAGACTTCCTCTTTTTACCAAAATTCAGCTGCAAGAGGCAGGTCCTTCCGTGGGCTGCTGCTGGGCAGGGGAACAGGCTGAGCAGCACAAATAGGGGGGCAAGTTTGCTTCTCCCCAAGTGTTGTCTGTGCCCAGGCTGTGGTGTGTGGATCCCTGGCAAAACTTAGTGCAGGTTTGTCCCCTCTCCCCAGCCCTTCTCCCCACATCTCCATGCTGGGCCCTTGCAAAGGGTTAGGGTTAGGGTGTGCTCATGCACCCACAGCCCTGCCTCACACCACAGGAGCTGGCAGGGATTTTTTTCCCTCCCTCCGAGGATTAAAACCCACCCAAACCAAGGCAAGGGTGGTCTCCCTGCCCAGTCCCACACCTGGGATATTTCTCCTTAGCACAATAATGTTTGTAAGAGCTCCCAGTGCCTTCACCCCTTCCTGACACCCTCCCAGCTCAGCTGGTAGTTAAAAGCAAGGGCTTTGGCCAAGCTGTGGGGTGGTCACAAGAAACCCTCCATCCTGCCCCTGGCCTTTCACTGGAGGGGCTCTGCTGGGGTCCAGCCCAGCTCAGGAGGTTTGGGTCCCAAACCCAGGACAGCCCATCCATGCTGGGAGCTGGATCCCAAACTTGGGACAGCCCATCCATGCTAGGACCTGGATCCCAAACCCAGGACAACCCATCCACACTGGGAGCCAGCACAGCAGCAGCAGCATCGAGGCAATCTGCTGAAAATCCTCCCAGCTTCCATCAGCTCTGGAGCTGTGTCCTTTCCCAATGTATTTCCATGTGCCTGGGAGCCACGTGAGCTCCCAAGCACTTTCCCCACCCTGTCCCAAGGGGCTGCTGCTCCTGGCAGGGCCAGAGGGAGACCCTGACCCGCAGGGTGGGATGGGGGTCCCTGCTCCAGGGGTGCTCCCCATGTCCAGAGCCGGGTGAAGTCCCCACAGACACTTCTGCAGCCAACCACAGCTGACATGAGATGAGTCAGGGCTGGCTGCAGCCCCCCCTCCTCCCCCTGCTTGCAGGAACAGCGTGAAGGGAAGAAATGCAAGAGGCTTTGATGGCAGGAGCACAGGCTGTGCCCTCCTCCCCTGCCGCCAGCCTTTGTGGGCTCAAAGCTGGGGTTTTGTATCCAGCCCGCAGGAACTGAGCTTTCCTAGGAGTTTCTGACCTTGCCTGCAGTTGTGGAGGGGGTTTGAGCGTGCCAGAGCGCTGGCAGGATAATCCTTTCTGTAGGAAACCGTGTAACACAAGGCTTGTTGTTCTGCCTCCCCTGAGCCTGCCTGCCAAGGCGTAGGGGCTGCAGAGCTTTCCCAGGCACCAAGTGCCCCTGGCACTGTGGCCAGGGGGACTCAAGGCCGGAATGGGCTTTTCCCGGAGCCAGGGGCTGCTGGAGATGCTCCCTGGGGTTGATGTGTGGTGACCTTGGCAGGTGCCAGTGCAGGGACTGGAGCTGCTGGAGGACAACCCATCTGCACAGGGCACTGCTGCAGTGGCACAAGGATGGGTGAGAGCACTGCAAACTCTCTGGGGAATTTCTCAGCGCTGCCTCAGTTTCCCCAGGCTCATCCTGTCTCACTAGCAGCACCCAGGGGAAGAGCAGAAATCTGTCCTCAGGCTTGTCAGGAATGCACAGGCCGTGTCCCCTGTCCCTGCCACTCTGCTGTGTGCCAGCCCCCGCCGGGTGCCTTCCTGTCTGCCCAGGAAGGAAGGGGTTAACGTGCCCGGATTTCCTGAGCGCGATGCTGGAGGGGAAGGTGACCTGCAGAAGGGAATGGAGGGAAGGTGACCTGCAGAACTGCTTTGCAAGGCACGTTCTGGTGTCGGGAAAGCCCGGAGTGAGGCTGAACCAGAAATCCAGCTAGAATTCGGCCTTTCCGGACAAAATTTAAGTTCTTAAGTAACTCCTTCCTCCTGCGGGCTGCCTGATTTATTCATGACATCCTTGCCCACTGCAGAGTGGCCCCGGGCGCTGCCACGTGCCCAGGATGGCGCTCAGGGCGAGAGGGCAAAGAGCTGCGGGTCAAAGGTGGAGCTCTGCCTCTTGCCGAGCTTTTCCTGCACATCCTCCTTGGCAGCACCGTGTGTGTGCTGGGCTGGGGGAACCTTCACAGCCCTGGGCTTGGCCACAGTGGCTGGAAAAGGCAAAATTTTGCTTTTGGTGGTCGGGCTGGCAAGATAGAGGGCAGAGGATGGTGGTCAGGGCAGTGCTGGGAGTGGGAGAGAGATGCAAGAACAGGTACCCTGGGAGATGCCAGGGGGTTTTGGGAGGGAATGTGCCGCATCCCTCCTCCCACAGCTTCTGTGGCATGATGGGGCTGCTTGTAGGGTGATTTGACTTTTATTTGATTTTCTCACCGGTGCTTCCTCTGTGCTAATCTGCTCCCACCCTCTCCAGGAGTGGTGGAAGGGGAGGTGGGGGAAAAGGTCACCCCATTCCAGCCCCAGCCCCAGGGCTGCTCCTGCTGCTTTCTGCAGCAGCTGTGGGGCTGATTCCTGAAGCCAGGAGCTCCCTCCCATCCCCCCGGAGTGAAGGCAGGGCTGTGGAGGAAGGAAGTGGTATCTTTGCTCCAAAACAGCTCCCTCTGCTCTTGGCTCTTGCAGGTATCCGCTGCATGGAGGAAGCCGCTCACTGCAGCCCCTGCCTGCCCCGTCTCCTGCCCTGAGGCCACCGTGGCACTCTGGGTGCGGTGACAAGGTGACACCGTGGCTCTCTGGGTGCAGCATCCGGGGACAGTTCCATCACCAAGTGCCAGTTTTGACAGTGCCATCACCACCCAACAGCACCTGCAGCTGGCAATCCTGGCACTGAGACACCAGGTGTGGCATGGGATGTGTTTGGGGTGGGGATGCAGGAGGGTCCCCTCCCTGCTGACCTCTGCTGTCCCTCTGCCAGGCCTCTGGGTGACACGGGATGAGTGTGCCAGCCGAGGAGCCGGGCAACCCTGCCCATGCCATCTTTGAGAGGTTCCTGCGAGCCGGGCAGTGCCAGGAGGTGCTGGGCTCCTTCCTGGAGCTGTGCCAGCAGCTGGGCGTGCAGGGCACGGGGCTGCAGCTCTACCACGGCCTCAAGGCTGCCCTCAACTACTGGAATGCCAAGGCCCTGTGGAGCAAGCTGGATAAGAAAGCTGGGCACAAGGACTACGACCAGGGCACAGCCTGTGCTGGC